TGTGTGATTTCCGTACAACAACGCTGGACCGGCACATCAGTAGTGGAGACCACGTGAAAGCAGTTCAAGAAATCGCACTACGTGCAGACTTCAATACCACTGTTCAGAAAGTATTATCCGATAATGACAAAGCAATTATTTCCGAAATGCAGACCGTGTTTTGGCTGGCGAAGGAAGACATAGCAACACGAGAGTATGAATCGCTGCTGTCATTCCTAAAGTTACAAGGTGTTGAAACCATGGATAAACTCAGAGTTGGGCAGAATGCATCATACACTTCACGTCAAACTGCCGATGAAATGCAAGACGCGATTGCTGCAGTGATATCGAAGGAAATCAAACAACAATTACGACAGAGTGAATTTCTGAGCGTGCTATCTGATGAAAGTACGGACATTTCGTAATCTATGCCAGACTGATCGATGACGATTTTACTCCCAGGACACGGTACATCGAATACAATATCTTCATCACTGAAAACTACTCTATTGGAGGAAAATTGTGTAAAACCCCACCAACTCATCGGTTTTGGCAGCGATGGCGCCAGTGTAATGAGAGGAAGGCTGAATGGTGTTTCCGTTCGTTTCCAACGAGAAATAAACCCGTTCATCATTAGTATCCACTGCATAGCTCACCGCTTAGCTTTATGTACCAGCCAGGCAGCGAAATCTGTCGCATACCTCCAGAAATCCTCGCAAATTCTCACTGATATTTATTATTATTTTTCAAGATCGGCCGTGCGTACTGAGAGTGTGAAGGAAATTCAGTCAATATTGGACGATCCACGTTTGAAATATAAGGAAGTCCATTATGTTCGCTGGTTTTCATTTTATTCATCTCTAGAAACAATATACCGAACTTTTTTAAAACTAGCGCCGAAGGCGCATATTAGTTTTTATGTTTATATAAGAGATTGCATACTTACCTTTGGTTAATGAAATTTTAATTTCATAAACAAATGGGATAATTGCCAATTATCATATAATACTGGTTAAATAAAA